CCCCCCATGCCCGCCGCCGCGCCTTGTTGTCGGCAGGAGCGATTTGATCCGTTACCTTGTGCCTGTCAAGGCTGCCTGCCTCTTCCATTAGTCGTGACATTTACGCAAGTACCCAAGGTACCTAAGGTAGTAGATACCTAAAGTAGGTACCGATACAGCACTGGCCAATACTGCAACGACCCATATAGTGCTACTAAGGAGGTACCTCCAAGTAAGTGCTAGAGTCATAAGGTAAGGAGGCACCAAATGCAGGAGAAGTGCCTGCCTGCGTGCACGATGGGCGCCTGCCTCTCCCGTCGCTTCCCGTGCGCCCGCCCGTGTTGAGCAGGTGCAGCGAGAGGAAAGAAGGTGCGCCCTCGCCTTTTATTTGCTGATAACATGCCCTGGCTGCCCGGGTGTCGTTGATGCAGACTGTTCACAAGGCACTTACATGGAGGACAGCCCCAGCGCTGCGACAAATGCCCGCTCAGCTGTTTTCACAACGGCCTTTGCTCGCCTAGGTGCCGAGCTTGCACTAACCAGGTCCCCTCATTCCGCCCCGAGAAGCCCCTCCCCCCTCCTCCTCGTCCATCCTCTTCGGTGTCGGACCAGCTGCCCGAGCGGTTCCATCCCCAACCGCGGAGCCGCAGACACTCACTCAGTCGTGGGCGATGCCAAATATATCGCACACCTCGCCCACACCTTGCCTCGTGCCGCCTGCCCTTTTCTTCCCGCCCTCGGCTCTCCTCCCCCATCGCCCCTCTCGCCCCGGCTGTGCGCGAACAAAGGTCCCGGCTCGCCGCGACTCCATCCCGTCTCTACCTTTGCACTCTCTGGTTCGCCTGCCGAAAGTGCCTGTCCGTCTTCGCGAGCGCGCCTGGCCCACGGAGCAGGCCTCTGGTACTACACTCCGCTGCAGTCGCCAATAACGCTGCCCGCGATACAGTACAGTGCATAGTAGTACTTACTCGACTTACTCGGTCGCCAGAGCCGCATTGCCTGCGGTAGCCGGCCCTGGCCTCCGTTCCTCGGTTTCCTCCACCCCGCGTTTCTCACTCGCTCCCCGTTGACCGACTGAGCGACGGAAACCCACCCGACACTTTTGCGCCGTCCCGCCCGCGCTTGCTCCAGTCGCCAGTCGCCAGCCTCCAGCCTCCAGCATTCCCCTCCAACGCTGCAGCGCCCGGCGACCCAAGCCGCCTCCTCGACCTTGTCTCGCGGACGCCCGGAAACCTGGGGCTCTGTTCCCCCCGTGCCACCACCGTCGCCCGACCATCGGCACAGCTGCAGAGCTGCGGAGCGGCCAGCGCCTGCAGCTGACCGTCTGTCGCGCTTGTCGCGCCTGTCGCAGTCGCTGCGCAGATAATTGTGTCTTCGACTCTCGTCCTCCCCGCGCTCCTTCGCCCCCCGCCGATGATGCGCTCCTGACCCCGTCGGCCAACGTCCCCTCTTCCGCTCCCCCGATTTGCGCCTCCTTTTACGTCGAACCTCACCCTCGCGCGGTCATGGATCCCGTCCACAGCCTGGCTGAGGCTGCCATCAACTCGGCCCCGGTTCATCAAGAGGCGCTTCATCGCTCCAGCGACGTCCCGGCTCCGGTCCCGGCTCCGGCTGCTTCTCCCGTCCCGGGACACGCTCCCCCGCAGCAACACACCTCCTCCGGACTCGCCTCGTCTCTCTCCCCGGCGCTCTCGCCCACGACCCTCCCTAGGCCAGATGACATGCCCTCGCGGCCCCCTATTTTTTCTCCTACCAATTCGACCATTCACCTGCCGCATCCCGGCTCTCCGCCGCCGCGCAAGGACACCACCTCGTCCGTCTCGACCCAGGCCACGACGGCCACCATGGCCTCCGCTGAGACCAACAACACATCGTACAGTGCCGACACCTCCCCCAGCCTGCACCAGTCCATTTTCTCCGTCAAGGATGGGGCCGACGTCTCTAACACGCGCCGCACCAGCAGGAGACGCACCGGGCCCCTATCCCAACAATCCAGGGAACGGGCTGCCTTGATACGAAAGCTGGGCGCATGCGCCGACTGCCGTCGCCGGAGGGTTGCCGTAAGTCTCACAAGCCCACCCGAGTATCTGGATCTATGACTCTGGTGCATGCGCTGACATGGCTTGCTACGGCTCCTCGCCTACATGTAGTGCCATCCCAGCCACCACAACCTGACGTGGGAAGATCTGGTCAGCAAGTTCCATAGGTCTCACAGTCCCAGCATCCAGGATATTGCCCCTTCCTTTGCTGCCGGCCGTGCTCTGAGTCCCACTGCCTCACTGTCTGCTTCGCAGGCAGCCTACGCCAGCGACCCACAAGATATGGACGTTGACTCCGGCACACCATCTCATCATCAGCCCGGCAGACCTCCGTTGAGTGAGGCGCGGATACGCACACCGCTGCCTTCTGGCCCCCGCTTGGAAAAGTCTCTTTCGCTTCCGGGCATCGAGAGTCTCAAGAATGAGCTGCAGGGAAACGTGCCTCGCATGCTTTCCACCTCCAACCGCGGTCGCTATAATGCCGTCCAGGCCCTCTTGCTCTTCTGGCAAGATGACGACGATGCAGCCATCGTTCAAGGCGCGGTCAAGGAGTTGGCTGACGTCTTCGACAAATATTACCACTATACGTTTCAGATCCAGACCATACCATCCTCCTCTGACGGCTGCAAGAGCTCATGGAGATGGCTGTCGCGACAGCTCAACGAATTTGCTGAGGATCGCGACCAGCGCGACGTTTTGAAGATTGTGTACTATGCCGGGCACACGTATCTCGACGGGAATAGAGAGATGATTCTGGCAAGGTAGGCAGTCACGACTCCCGACTCCCGCCCACGACAGTGACGTGCCTAACTCGGAGCAGCTCCAGAGATGGCATCAAGGCCTCAACCATCCGGTGGAACGGCATCCAGCAAATATTGGAGGAGGCCTGCTCCGACACGCTCATCATCATGGACGCCGCCTACTACCCATCGTCGAGGATGGTCCGACAAAAGGGGGTTTTAGAGCTCATTGCGGCGTCCGTCTCGGAGGAACACGTGACGGCGCTCGGCCGTTGCGTCTTCACGCGAGCCCTCGTCGACCAGCTCCGTACTCGAGCGACTCGATCCACACCACTGTCTGCCGCAGAACTCCACTCAATTCTCCTCGCGGCCTACCCCAAGTTGATCCAAGACAGAAACCCCGAAAAGGAGATGTTGACGAGCTTCCCTGCCCCGTTGCACACGATGATGTCGGGCAACTCGCGATTGCCGTCAATATTTCTGTGTCCGGTTTATCAGAGCAGCCCGCTGCGGAACAGCTTCTCGTACGAGAATAGCCCACAGCTCCACCTGTCCATCAAGCTTCATGACGACAACGTCGACATCGACAGCTGGAATGAGTGGCTGCGGCTTATGCCCGACGGCATCAAGGACGTCAAAGTCGACGGCCCTTTTCGGACCTCTTTCAGGTAGCTTGTTGATACCAAGTCTGTGCGCCTGGTGCCCTGTTTTCCCCCTTGGTCGGCTGCGTGGTGTTTCTGCGCAAAATGTCAAAAAAGTCAATACCGAGTGTACGACGTATGGCTGTTCGATTCTTCGTTTCATATTCGACACCCCTGGATTGCCACGCTTCCGGGAGCTTTACTTATGTTGGGTTCGATACATTACGGCTTGTGGGACGAGTACATGATCGAGCTGCAGATGGCACTTTTATTTACAAAGAAGCGGCTAGGATAGACTCGGTCGCGAACGAATGGATGCTGAGACGATTTCCTGTGTCTTGCTTTAGAGGCGCAAAGCGCGAATTACGTCGGTTGTGTCGATGTTTTGAGGGTCGGGGTTGGGTATGTCGACAAGTAATGCGTCTGTAGACGCCGGCATCTTGTACATAGGCTCCGCCTCAAGAGATGAAAAGTTGGCGACCGCAGGCGCCCCGCCGCCCCGTTTGCGATCGACAAAATGCGATGGGCCCGAACAGGACGTCAAAGCCAGGATGCGGATGAGCTTGGAGCTCAGGCCGTGGTGGCGATGCTGGTGGGCGGTTGCACGTGTATGGGTGGAGTCGAGGTGGTTGCCCAGCAACGCTCCGCAGACGCGGCCTCCCAACCACAACAAAACGGCCCCGGTCACCGCTGGGGGAGCTTCCATCTTCGGCTCGTCAACCACCACGCGGCAGACCACAATGTGAACGTCGCATCACGCGTGCCTGCCTGCCTTACTAACCACCCCCCAGTGACCAGAAAGAACAACAGACGAACATCTCAATGGAGTCGCCACCCAAACGAATGACGCGTGCACGCGCCGCAGCCAAGGCCTGCGAGTCGACGACCAAGACGACCAAGATCGTCACGGCTGCTGCCAAAGCGAAGACGGCAGGGACCGCAACGGCGAGCACCAAAAGCACGGCCGCCAAGCGCAAGACGAGAGCCGACGACAATGAAGATGAGACCGACCAAGACGAGATGGCCGCGCGACGGGCCGTTCGGGGGCGACCTCGCAAAACCCCCGAAGCCAATGCTGCTGCGGACGACACCCCTGCGCCAGCGCCTGCCCGCGCTGCTCGCGGAAGGCCAGCCAAGAAGCCGTCTGCCGAGACGTCCAAGCATGATCAGGATTCTACTGCGGCTGCTGTTGCTGCTGCACCGAGACCTCGTGGCCGCCCCAGGAAGACACCCGCCCCGGACGCGGACGCCGCCCCTGCGACCGCCGCAGAGCCAGCAAAGAAGACGGCCCGCGGCCGCGCCCCTGCAGTACCCAAGCCAGCCGTGAAGAAGACGGTGAAGTTCGAAGAGCCCGACAAGGAAAACCTGGAGCCCGAGGTGGCCAAGGCCAGAGAGCCAAGTACCGGCGGGATTCGCGGCAGACCTGCGCGTCGAGGAGGAGCTACCGCTGCTCGCAGCACGCGTACTGCCGCTACCCCGACAGCCTCTGCCGTCTCTCAGAAGAAACCCCTCAGCCCGAAAAAGGTAACGCAGATGCCTTTGTCCAGAGATGACGACAGCTCAGAAGACGAGCTTGCCATGGGCAAGGTTCGCACACCAGTCAGGCACCTGAAGAAGAGCCCCATCAAGCCACGAACCGCCGCCGCCACCGCGCCCATCAAAGAGTCACAGGCTGCCGACGACGGTCAGGATACGGCAGCCACGGGCAATACAGTGACACTCAACGCGCCGGCTCTGGGCGCGTCACCAGCACGTCGGCCGCCTTCTTCGCCATTCAAGGACTCCCTAAAGTCCCCCGCCAAGAGGATAGGGGCCGCCAACCTCCCTGGCTCTGCGCTGAAGCCCACAGCTCTTGGGACCGAGCATCCGGGGCAGACTCCCTCGTTTAAGTCGTCACTTCTGCGGTCTGCCGCCAAGAGGCCGCAGTCACCCATAAAAGGCCTCACTCTGCCACCTGCGTCCGCCGCAAAGCCTCACCAATCGCAGTCGGCCATGAAGAAGACAATGTTTCAGTCTCCAGCCAAACGCGCGCTGCCTGGCTTCAAGCCACAGACAGAGACACAAACGCAAGAGGATGCTGCGCTACCGGGGTCGCCGAGGATGCAGCCCATTGTCATGGCGACCCCAACGCCTGCCACCAGGCGCCGCCCCTCCGAGAGATTGCTGGATGACGACCAAGCTCACGACGAGTTGGACGAGGGCGGCGACGACAACGTCTTTGATGCTGGCGATACGGATGTGATCTTTTCCGGCCGTCTTTCCTCCGTCCTGCCACGTCACGCAGACCCGAGCTTGGAAGGGGAAGTCAACGACCTTGATGAGAACGAAATCGATCAAGTGGAATTTGTTTCCGAAGCGACTGAGCCCATGAGGCCACTGTCCAACGAGGAACGGCTGTCAGAAACCGTCGGGCATCTCACAGTGGAGCGCATTGACGACCCTATGGCTTTGGACAATATCACCGCGGACATGGAAGAGTCGACGGAGCTGCCGCAGCAGCGCGAAGAGGAGGCGGAAGACCAGCAAATCCCAGAGGGAGACAACGAAGACGAAGTAATCCCAGGGCCGCTTGCGTCTGGCAAAGCCAAAGGCGTCAAGTACCAATTGCGTCAGAAAGACCAGGATCCATGCTACGACATCAGGTTGGAACCGGACTCGGAGGATGAGACAACTACGCCGTTCAAGGTCATCTCCCCTACGCCTTCCAGGTCAACGAAGAGGCCTCGGGACTCCCGCAGGTCCACCATTGGCCTCACCTCTCTGGCTGAACAGTTTGGCTCTTGGTCAGCGGCCAGCCCGATCAAGGCGGACAAGAATACCGACGTGGCGCCGGCGTTTGTCTGCGAGGATGTCGGGCGTCAAGACACAGCAGTGAATTTCGCAGGAGAACCGGAGCCTTCTGCCAGGAATATGTTCTTCGAAAACGAAATGTTGGCGCACGGCGACGAAGTACAGACTGCAACACCTCACATGGCTGCGCAGGCGGGTCTCGACAAGGGCGAGGACGAGGATCTTTGCATGGAAAACATGATGGTCACGGACGAAGATGTCGCCCTGGCTCAGGAGGCGAACGACCTGTCAGTCTTGGAGCCGGAACGCGTCGAGCAAGTCGTCAACGGAGGTTCTTTTGACGACAGCGTGTCCGAGGCAAGCCAAGAGTACGGGGACGAGAACCAGGTGCCTGTCGACCCGGCCCTTGCGAGCAGTGTTCCTGCAGGTCCCGTTACTCCCGTGCGGCCCCCGCAGCACAGGGCCTTCTTCACCACCACCAAGGTGCCTCTGAAGCCTGCAGACAACTCCACCCCGAGCCCGCTGAAGCAGCGAAGCATGAGCGCCTCGCGCGCCAGCTCCAGGCGGCCTGCCGCCCTGCCTCGCAGCGCGACCGTCATCTCGTATTCGCCGACCAAGGACAGGCGGCGGAGCTCGGCGGCAGTGACCCCGTCCAAGGTGGACATGTGGTCGAGCATCGGCACGCCGGCTCGCACTCCTCGGCGGGACCTGGACCCAGCCCTCCTGCGAGGCGCTGTCGTCTTCGTCGACGTACACACGACCGAGGGCGCGGACGCCAGCGGCATATTCGTCGAGCTTCTGAGCCAGATGGGTGCCCGGTGTGTCAAGTCGTGGCACTGGAACCCCAGCGGCGAGTCTTGCTCGTCGGCCAAGGTCGGCATCACGCATGTTGTCTACAAGGACGGAGGGAAGCGCACGCTTGAGAAGGTGCGCGAGGCCAACGGGGTCGTGCACTGTGTCGGAGTGAGCTGGGTTCTCGAGTGAGTCTTTCCACGAGCGGTTCCGGGGGAAGCTTTGCTAACATGGCGGCCAGTTGTGAGCGAGCGAACGAATGGCTCGACGAGGCGCCGTATTGCATCGATACGAGTCACATCCCTCGCGGGGGCGCTCGCCGCCGCAAGAGCATGGAGCCCAAGGCACTGGCCAACCTCAACGGCACCATCGTGGACGGTTCGTCCAAATCGTCGCACACGCCCAACACCCCCAAGAACCGACGTGACAGCTCGTTGTGGATGCACTCCCCGTCGGACCAGGTGGACGGCCAGAACGACGATGACCTCGAGTGGTCGTGCGTCTTGCTGACGCCAGTGCCCAAGACGCCAGCGCCAGAGGCGGTTGCGCGGTATGCCGCAGAGCTGCCGGAGACGCCGCAGGGAGAGAGCGATGACGAGGATGAGAACCCGTCGCCGACGAAACAGGCCCTTCTGACGCGCACGTGCCCGCCAAAGGCGAATCCGTATCGCGAGATGGGCGCGGGGATCCTCAGCAGGGACAAGGACGAGCACGTGCTGCAGAGGCTGATGGCCGCCCGGCGGAAGAGCCTTCAGTTTGCCCCCAAGGTCGGCAGTCCGCTGTCGAAGACGTGGGAATAGGCCAACACATGGCCATTGGAAGGGTTGATTCTTTTGCCGGCACAGGGACTTTACTTTCTGACACTTCCGTTTATACCCTGAGGACGCTCGCTTAGAGTCGGGTTTTGTGTGCGAATCGACATTGGCTGGGAAATGCATTTTCGGCGTTGGACGGAGGACTGTACAGTTGTCTAATCGGCTACTTTCACTCCATACATGGAAAGGCACATGGCAATAGTCATGGCTCTAAATTAATCGCAGTGGTATGATTGTGCTTTTGGGCGGGCACCTCTGTCTATTTGCTTGTTCCCCTTTTCGTTGATCCCAGGGCTCGCCACATGTCGCAACATGTCCACATGACATCTGGACTCCCATGGGCGAGGAGTGGATTCCGAGATGGTTCCGCTCTGGGGACGAACAGCGGTCGGTCGTCCCTTTGATGGTAGGCGTTCCTCTGTCTCTGACGGATGGCTACCGCTGCCCCTTGTTGCCCCGTCCGCTCGGGATCGGCCCAAAGGTGTTCATGATCCATATGATTATGCGTGTGTGTCGCACGCCAAGAGAGGGAGCTCCGCCGCCGGGAAGCAGACACCGCCGTAGAGAGCCGACGACGGACACGTCCGGGCCGTTGAGACGGTGCTCGGCCGGCGCGTCTGCGCGCATCTCGTGGGCACCACCGTCTCGTCGAGCTCTGCGCAAGCGGCGGGCGGCGCGCTTTACGACGCGACAAACGCAGCCATGGCCTTGACGGCGTCCCCCTCGTGGGCCTTGAGCAGCTCGGTGGCCTTGGGCTTGGACAGCTCGAGCTGGTCGACGATGAGGGCGACGTCGGCGGCGTCGACCTTGACGGCCTTGGCGGGGGCGGCGCCGCCGGCGGCCGAGGACGAGGCGGCCGAGGGCTTCTTCAGGGCGCCGGCGCCGGCACCGCCGCCGAGGCTCTTGATGGCCTTGCTGACGGCGTCGTGGTCGACGTTCTTGGCGGAGGAGCCGTCGTCGTTGGCGCTGCTGCTGGCGGCGTCGAGGCTGGCGAGGGCGGAGGCGGCCTTGCGGTCCTCGGCTGACTTGGCGGCCGAGGGGAGCTCGTCCTCGACGTCGCCGGTGGTGGCGCCCTCGACGACGGTGGGGGGCTGCTTGTCGGCCATGGTGGTGCCAGGTAGGGGGGTGTGTGTGTGAGGTCGACGGCCGGTCGCTTTACGTGCGGGCGCGTGCCGGGTGCGGTGTGCTTGGAGGAGAAGACGTGCTGGCGCTGGAGGAAGAGGAGCGTTTGGGGCTGGAGGGGCGGTTTTGCGCGGGGCCGCCGCCGTGGTGGGGCTCGCGCCCTGGATGGACTTCCCGTCGCGTTGCGATCGCTACTTTCCACCTGGCCTAACCTAGAGCGCCCGTGGAGGATGAGTTCAGCACAACATGCGCAATGGGCGGGGACGCGAGTGCAATTGGGGTCATCTCGCACAGAAGTGCTCTTAGTTGCAGCCTGGGTTGTCACTCTAGTCGTGCCAATCCGTCGCGCCGGCGCGGTGTTGGAGGCGATGAATAGACGAACCCATTGTCCAACAATACCTTGCAAGCAGCCATGACAACGGGATCTCGAGCTGCTCCGGTCAGGTGAGCTGTCTGTTTCCTGCGGCTAGGCATGTAACCAGTATGCCCACCCGCCTCTCGGCGGACACAGACATGCAGCATAATATTGCGGCGATGGTCTTATGTAGTATGTACACAACCCATTATTATACGCAGTACCTGGTACAGTGTATCAATGCCCGCGCGGCAGTTGACGAGGCGTGCTCCATCCACCCAATCCATCATCCATGCATGGGTCTTTGCTCAGGTCCACAGTGACGTGCCTCCCGTCCCACCGTCAAGCATGACCTGACGCGCGCCAAAGCTGGCGGCAGGGCAAGAGAAACCCCAGGTAACATGTACAGAGCGAGCGAGGCCGGAGGCGCGTTGGACGATTCGGCAATTGGCGCCGGCCTTGGCTTGAGGAAAGAAAAAGACAAAAAAAAAAAAACGTGGACGAGGAAGGGACGAGGCACGCCCACGCCATGCATTGACGTCGGTCGCGGAGGCAGACAAAAATACCATGATCAAAAATTGGTGGGATGCCACTGCAGAAGCCTTCCGTTTTTCTTCTATTTCGTCGGCTGCCCCTCGGCACTGGACACCACCTTGACCACCTAGACACCTGGGGCGCGTGGTGGTCGCAGTTGCCGCCCGTGGTCGTGGTTGGTTAGTGGGCTGGGCAGGTGCCACAGAAAAGTTTCGTGACTCACGACTCATTCAATTCATCAGGCCAATTCATTCTCTTATACATAATATCGACCTTCACCGTCTCTGCAGCACAGCACGGCATCCCTTTCGCCCCTCCACCAAGACTGCCTCTGGAGACACAGCACAGTGCTGCAGCCATTCGCCTCCCGTACCTGCAACCCGGGCAACTGCTGAGGCACCAATTCGCAGTGGCACGCCGGGGATACCCTCACGTCTTTTGCTGTGCTCGATAGAGTTACTCACCGTCTCTCTCTCTCTCTCCGCCGCCCCTGTCACGAGACGGACGGCAACGCGACACGCAGACACACACCATGGCCTCCCAGCAGCAGCACTCACCGGCCTGGACCCCGGCCTCGTGGCGCTCCAAGCCCATCAAGCAGTCCCCCGCCTACCCCGACCAGAAGAAGCTCGCCACGGCCGTCGGCGAGCTCTCGCGCCTCCCGCCCCTCGTCCACCCCAACGAGATCCTCGCCCTCAAGGCCCACCTCCGCGATGTCGCCCACGGCAAGGCCTTCCTGCTCCAGGGCGGCGACTGCGCCGAGCTCTTCGACTACTGCCAGCAGGACGCCATCGAGTCCAAGATCAAGCTGCTGCTGCAGATGAGCGTCGTCCTCATCTGGGGCACCAACAAGCGCGTCGTCCGCATCGGCCGCATGGCCGGCCAGTACGCCAAGCCCCGCTCCAGCCCGACAGAGGTCGTCGACGGACGCGAGATCCCCAGCTTCCGCGGCGACATTCTCAACGGCTACCACGTTGACGAGCGCGAGATCGACCCCAACCGCCTGCTCAAGTGAGTCCCCCTACTCCAATGCGTGCATGCCTCCCCCGTGTCCAGCACAGCTTCTCATCACCCCCCCCTCTACAGGGCTTACCATCTCTCCGGCGCCACCCTCAACTACATCCGCGCCGCCATCGCCTCCGGCATCGCCGACCTCCACCGGCCCCTTGATTGGGGCCTCGGCCACGTCAAGGACCCCGTCCTCAAGGAAAAGTACTCCGCCATCGCCCACAGCATCCAGCAGACCCTCCGCTTCCTCCAGGTCATCAACGCCCGCCCCGGCGAGCTCGAGACCGTAGAGTTCTTCACCAGCCATGAGGGCCTCTTGCTTGACTACGAGCAGCCCTTGACCAGACTACTCGAGAAGCCTCCCAAGGGTCGCACACCGCCTCCTACCAGCAGAACGCCCTCCCCGACACCGCCGCCCGCCGACGAAGAGGATTCCGAAGCCAAGCAGGAGTACTATGACACGTCGGCCCACTTCATCTGGATAGGAGACCGCACGCGCCAGCTCGACCACGCCCACGTCGAGTTCTTCCGCGGCATCGCCAACCCCATCGGCATCAAGGTCGGCCCCACGACGCCCACCTCTGACCTGCTCGACCTCCTGCGCACCCTCAACCCCAGCCGCGAGCCCGGCAAGATCACCCTCATCACCCGCTACGGCGCGGGCAAGGTCGCCGAGCTGCTCCCCCAGCACATCCGCGCCGTCGAGGACTCCGAGTACCGCCGCTGCGTCGTCTGGCAGTGCGACCCTATGCACGGCAACACCCTCTCTACGCCCTCGGGCATCAAGACGCGCCGCTTCAACGACATCTACCGCGAGCTGCAGGAGTCGCTGCGCATCCACAAGGAGCAGGGCAGCTACCTCGGCGGCGTCCACCTGGAGCTCACGGGCGATGCCGTCACCGAGTGCCTGGGCGGCAGCGAGGGTCTCGACGAGGACGATCTGTCGACCAACTACACGTCCTTCTGCGACCCCCGTCTGAACGAGAAGCAGGCCCTCGAGCTGGCGTTCCTCGTCGCGGACCATTTCTCGCGAGAGCAAAAGCACGGGTCCGCCTAGGGGATCAAGACGAATCAAGGATGAAAAGGGAGGGGTGGGCTGTAGAAGCGGCAGCCTTTTTTGGGACCGACCAGGCACAGGCATGGCGTATTTTCTGTATATATCTGCATATCCTGGGACAAAAAGTTTTCTCGTTTGAGGCGAGGCGAGTATTGAGACTGGAAGCGGACAACTCCAGTCACGAAGCATGGAATCAATTTCCTGTAGCAGCTTGCAATATCACGGCCCTCAGTGGCGACCTTTCCGTATTCAGTTCTGTCTCAGACTGCCGTGACATTACTCACCAGTCCTAAATTTACTTCCATCGGTGATCTGTCGGCTGCGTTGTGCGCGAATCCGACTTCGAGATGAAAGTGTCACATCGGGATTGAGTGTCCAAAACGCAACTTTGTACGCTCTCTGTGATTCAGCGTATTCGCGACCTGAACTCTTGACGATCTGAATCTTTAACATCTAAGAAAGGAAGATGGTCTGCGCGCCCTCAAAAGCATCGCCCTTGTCCAGCTTCTGCCACCCCTGGACGCTGCCGGCCTCGACGCACACCATGTTGCGGAACCCATCCTTGGGCGTAAAGTCACCCATGCCAGCGGCCTTGTCGGTCCAGGGGTTCCAGACGACCACCTGGTCGAGGTTGTCGCGGACGATGCGGAACCGCGGCCGCCCGCCGTCCGAGATGACGACGGGGTGCTTGGGGCCCTTGGCGGGCGTGTACACGCGGTCCGTCTCGCCCGAGAACGTGACGGCCGAGGAGCCCTCCGTCTTGGCCTTGGCGCCATCGACCTTGTCCGTGTACGGCGAGTTTTCGAGGCCGGTGACCTCGACCGAGTTTATGTCCTTGCGATGAGTGTTAGCACGGGGTAGATGGGAACACCGGCGCGATGAAGCGCAGGGAGCTTCTGGGGCTGCGTACATTGATCCTAAAGTACGTGTGGAGCAGGGTCTGAATCTCGAACGGCTCGTCGCCGTCGTTGCTGATGACGAGCGTCGTGTTGAGGCTCTCGCGGTCGAGCGTAACGCTGTACAGCAGGCCGAACTGGTACGGCCACAGCTTGCGCGTCGCGTCGTCGAGGTTCTCAGGCGAGAGGCCAAAGTCGAGCTTGACGCTGGAGCTCGAGGAGCCTTCGCTCGTGGACTTGCCGAGGAACTCCCACCGAGCGGTGCGGGCGAAGCCGTGCTGTGGCAGCTTGGACGTCGCGGCGTGGTTTGGGTCCGGCGGGCCGAAAGCCTAGAAATACGTCCTGTTAGTGTTTGCCAAACAAGCATCGCGAACTTAGAGGCCCAAGGGGGCTTAGATGACTCGCCACGTACCGGGAAGACGAGGGGGATGCCTCCTCGGACGCCCTTGGTGCCATCAAGCTTGGTGTTCTCGCTGAGCCACAGCTTCTCATCGCCCGAGGCATCCTTCCAGCTCAGTACGGTAGCGCCAAAAAGCAGCACCTCGACGCTCTCGCCGGTGGGCAGCGTGGCCGTGACGCGCGAGTTGCCGTGGGAGATGTTGACCTGGGCCTGGGGCGGAAGGCCCGGCGTCGCGGCAAGCGCTGACGGCTTGTTCGGTCTGTCCACCATTTTGCTCGTATTTTGCGTTCCGCAGAAGCCGCTTCTCGACAGGGGCGGGTGCTGGGGGAGGGACACAAGCCTCGAAGGAAAGATGGTCGGTCGTGTGGGCAGATTTGGCACGGGCACGTCGCAGAGTCAAGGCAAAATGCTCTTGTTAGCCGGGAGCGGTGACGCGATCGTGGGGCGAGGAGAGAATGAGGGGCAGGCCGCGTTGGCAAGGTCAAAGCTCAAGCTCGCCAGAACTGCGCAGGCAAGAGAAGTAGCAGACGTGCTTGCTTGCTTGCTTGGACGCGGGATGGGCGGCTTGGAACAGGACAAGGGCAAGATGATGCTCGATGGATGAAAGGAAGGCGGGACGGGATAAAACGAGAGGAGGATGAGACGGATCCGGAGAGGGGGAAAAAGACAGGTTCCGTTTCGTGGAGGCGAGGCTGCCGGAGGTGTGAAGCAGCAGCTCCGGGATTGGCGGGGTAGCTCACGGTGGCATCGAATGAGGGGCACCAACAGCAGCAGCAGCTGCTGCAGCACAGCACCGAAACGGCCCCTCCCGCCAAAACGTCGCCCGGGCGGCGCGCGCCCATCACAAACGACGTGCAGACGGCCAACGTTTCAGCTTCAGTCACTCCACAACATGCGTTCGTTCGCAAGCACATCCGGCCTGCCACGTCGACGGCCCTTTGCATTGCAGACAGCACACCGCTCAGCCCAAAAACATGCACACACAATCAGAGGGACAATCGGGATCGCAGGTTGCCGGGAGACAAAGAGACAGTATATGTTCTAACCGTCTACTGTCTATATCCTCCCACTGTCCACCTGAGCCCGACTCTTCTCGAGCTTCTCGATATGTACGGCCGGCCCGAGGACCCAAATCCCCCCTCGCGGCAGTTCCGAATCTAAACAAAGGGTATATATCTCAACGCATCGCGTGTCTCCCCCCACATCCACTCATATCAATCGTCGTCTTTGCACAGATCCCTTCGCTTTTGCTTCCGGAGAGAAAGAGTCGTATTTCGTTTTCCTCGCCTCTTCTCCGTTCAGAGCCGTAGACCAGCTGGTGGTGGACAGGTGCAAAGGGAGCCACGGATCATGTCTAGCACAGCTAGACTTACTGCTGCGCCTTGCGCTGCGTCTCCTCGTCCGTGTTAGTGAACATTGCGTTGCTGGCTTCAGCGCTCCCCGTGTCGCTCGAGCTGCCGTGGCGGTGCTCCGTGGCGGCCTTCTCGTCCACCTCGTCGATCGCGATGAGAAGTTCGCCGTTCTTGCCGTATCGCCGGGGTTCGACTCTAGCTTGGTGTACAACCTGCAACGCGCCCTTCCAGCCGGTAACCTTATGGAAAATTGTGTCCATTTCCTCAAGCGATCGATAGGCCGTCTCGGGGAAGAAGAAGTACACCGACGGCACCATGATGGCGTTAATAATTGCGAAAATGGTGTAGGTGTTGTACTTGATGTTGGTGAAGGCGACGGGGGTGATCATGACGACCATGAAGTTGAAGATCCAGTTCGACGACGTGGACAGGGCGTTGGCCGGCGCGCGAGTGCGCAGCGGGGTGATCTCGGCAGGGTACAGCCACGTCATGCCGAGCCAGCCGATGGCGAAGAAGGTATTGAAGACGAACAGAAAGACGATACCGGCAATCTGGCATGCCTTGTTGTTCTCTTGAGAGTTGACACCAGCCAGGATGGCCATGGTGGCGGCCTGGCCGACAGCGCCGAAAAGCATGAGCTTGCGACGTCCCACGCGCTCGACGAGAAAGACGGCAGGCCAAGATGCAATGAAGTACTCAGTGCCGTTGAGAGCGGCCAGAAGACGAGAGAGGAAGGGAGACATGCCGAGGTCGGAGTAGATCTTGGCAGCATAGTAGGTGATGAGGTTGATGCCCGAAATCTGCTGGAACATCTGGTTGACGTAGGCGATGATGGTGCGGTGCAGAGTGCGGTTCTTGTCGCGGGCGAACAAGTCGCCAAAGGTGCCCTTGCTCATCTCCTCGACAGTCTCCTTGATGGCGCGGAACTCGTTGTCGACATATCGGTCATTCTGGTCGACATCGGCAATGGCCGCAATGACCTCGCGGGCCTCGTCGTCTCGGCCCTTTAGGATCAGCCAGCGAGGGGACTCGGGCAGGCCGAGGACGAAGGCGAGGATGAAGACGCAGAAGACGATCTGGAAAGCCAGCGGGAAACGCCATGCGACGGAGCCGGGCGCAAAAGACAGACCGAGGTCGACCCAGTATGAGATCATGATACCGCCGGTGATGAGAGCGCCCTCAATCATGACCAGCTTGCCGCGCTTGTGGGCCGAGCACGTTTCCGATTGCCACATGGGTACTGTTGAGGTGTTGCCGCCGTTTCCAAGGCCAGTAATGATACGTCCAATGATGAAGTGTTCCAGGCTGAAGGCAGAAGCTTGAAGAGCAGCGCCAATGACCATGATGGCGGTTCCGAGGAAGATCATACGCTTGCGGCCGAGGGGGTTTCCAATGAAGATGGTGATGACAGCGCCGATGAAGCAGCCCAGGTTGTACGAGGCAACGGCGATACCCTGGTACGTGGAGCGGTTGGACATTTCCGAGGAGGTGAGGCCCTCCTCCTTGTCATTGATATCGGGGAACTGGCTGAGGAAGATGGGGAGCGTCAAGATGCCGCCCATGACACCCTGGTCTGCGGGGCACTGTCAGTGATGGCGACGAGTCGAAGGATGACACCAAAGCCTCTTACCGTAACCGAAGAGCAAGAAATCACAGCCGGCAATGGTGCCGATGGCCCAATTAAGGGCCTGGCCGCGAAGGCCAAAGTATTTCTTGCCCATGGCAGCTGGTTGCCCCGTGGCGATGGGGGGTTAAGCTCTATCCGTGTCTTGCTAGTCCCGACGACTGCCCTTTCCAGGAGAAAACGACAAAACGAGACGTTGAGCAGCGGAGACGGATAAAATTGGAGAGGAGACAAGAGAGAAACCCCAGAGCGTTGATCACGAAAGGAAGGGAGACGAGGTGGAAGCAGCGAGTGCGACCGTGGGGGATGGGCATGGCGACTTTATAAGTTGCATTCGGCTCGCGCCTCGCCAGGTACGACAGTGTACCCGTGCCTTTGCCTGTGCGAGGTACCTGCCTTTGCCTTGCGCCTGCCTCCCGTCGTTACCTGGTTCCTTGCGCGACATGACTAAAGACGGGGAGAGACTCTTGCCGCACGAGGGAGCCCGTACTTTGCGCAGTAGCCTACGGGGCACACCGATGTACCGACTTTGTACCCATCGCGGCTAACATGCTGAAAAGAGGCAGGAGCAAGGGGGCGGGGAGGACGACGAGAGACATTCGACATTGTGGAAAACTGGGCCCCGCAAAGTACCTTGGCGAGCGGCCTGTGTGCACCGACGCGGTCGTCGCACTACCGACGAGTACGAGGACACCTCGAACAACTCGATTGACCTCGAGTCCGCGATGTTGCAGTGGGCGGCCGTCAGCGAGCAGACTGCCGCAGACGTGCCCCATCCATACGCGACCTAGCGGTGGGCGGGAACAAGACCGGGGGGCGTGGCTTGGGTACGTAGCTTGCTGCCAGCCGGACCCGCTTAGTTTGCCGGACGGCGGGCGAGCCAAAAGGCGCGCCACCGCGGCCACCACCATCATCATTCCTGCATCCCATCCCGTCCATGCATCCCCCCTCCATCCATCTCAGCCATCTGGCACTACGGAGTGCCTGTTTCACTCATTCCCGTGGCCCGGACAATGGTCGATGCGATGAGTCCTTCCAGAAACTTGTCCGTCTTCGGCCTCGTCCCACGATGGACCAGAACGGCACCCCGACCCCGACCCCGATGCCGCGTCCCCGGGGCGCCGAGTCGCATTGATGCATGGCATCCCCAGACGAATGACATGCCAACCCATTCGCGCCTTTTTTTCTCTCTCGACACCATTGTCGCGTGCAGCCTGCCGTGGGGAACGACGACGTCATTTCAACCCGAAGCGCGGAGGTGATGGGTCCTTGCCTCCACGTTCTCCGCTAGTAGTCTGCCGTGCAACAAAGTTACAGAACCTTTTTTTCTCTCGGTCGCTCGTCGCCCCGTCTCAAGCCGTGTCGTTCACAAGCAAGCAAGATTCGAATTGTTCGCTCGGCGATGGACCCAGTGGGCTGGTGATGAAAATTGGAACCCCCCAGGCACGCGGCTCGTTGCGGCAGCTCAACCTCACGTCTGGGCTGACCACGAGCAGGGAGCCGCAACCCGTGATAATTAGAATAAACCGGGTCCCTGTTGTCGCGCTGCACATGGATGCGATGCGGCATGCCGATCCGTCGGGCCTGCGTGCAAAAGACGACGATCAGGTCAGCCAGCGCGCCGAGCCTGCGAGGGCTCTGTTTGCCGCTGGACATTGCGGATAGGATGGCAGCGAGACGAACAGCTTTGCCCTGCATCCGGGAGCGAGGCTTTCGGGCAGTGAGTGGATGGAGCCATGCCACGCCAAGAACTACGCGGACGGTACTTGTGACGCCCGCCACCCGTCACTGCCCGCTCGTTCGACTCCAATGCTGGTAGTATTACAGCCGTCATCCGGGGCCGTCTTCTTCAGGCTCTTCAAAAGGGTGGTGGAGATCGGCGACCGATTGGGCGGCTCTGGCTGGCTGCGAGGCCAGCAGGGGATAGACTCCAGGCACCGAAGATGCATGACTGGACTGGGTCAGGGGTGTGCGCCTGCGCTGGACGAGGATGGCAACCCGATCACGCCCTCGCCCCATTTCAGACCACCATGACGAATGTGGACTCGGCACGGCCATTGTTGTAGATGCCGCAGTGAGTAGCCGGGCCGGCCGCGCGCGAAGCAAACGAGCGAGCGACGGGGACGCCCTCGAAATCGAGCATTGAGAGTCGTCTACGGCAGGCGCTCAGCTGGACTTCTGCGCATTGCAAGTGCCAAGTACCAAGACGATGCCCAGGACGGGACGAGCCCGAGGGACAAGGCGGCAAGACGGGCGCGAGACACTCGCGGCTCGGCGGTGGAGAAGCAGCAGCAGTGGCAGCAGCAGTGGCAGCGACTTCATCTCCGTGTGCTGCAGTGCTGTACTTACACAGGCATCGACATGGCCGTGGTCTGGCATGGTCCCTGGATCGCCGCACAGCTCCAGCCTGCCCTTCGCTCAGCTCGGGGCAATGCAACGCAACCATCCAATCTGGGTCCTGCCAGCAATTGTTCGTCCTCTGACTGGACATGTCTCGGCGCGAGAGGGAAGTGTCGCGGTTGCATCATCCGACGCCCCCGGAATCTGGGGTTTGGGGGAGTCGAGACCGTTCTCTCGCTTATCAGCCACATGGCACGCTCGTTCCTCCTCATTTCTGCCCCGGATTTCCCTCTGCCCGCCCGTCAGACTCCAGAAAAGATCCCAAGGCGGCCATCCGAGGCGCGACCTGGACAGTTATTCCAGTGTCGGCGGACAGAGCTCGTCGCCAGCAGGCCAGCTCGCCGTGCCTCGGAATGTACGCATTGGTCGATCAATTAGCTGCCCTGTTGGCCAGGCTCCGGGACTAGTAGTACCGAGGGGCGTGCAGAAAAGAATGCATCGGCGGCACTGGTTGCGCCTTGTTCAACCAACACCACTCGGCCGAACGCGCCGTGTTTTGCAGGCCAAGCAGCCAAGCCACAGACCAGCCAACGCTACCCACCCATCGAGCCCGCATTCGACGAGACAACAAGTCGAGGGGCCTTTGGGGCCTCTCCGGGAGCATAGGCGCAACTACCAGACCCAGCGTTTTGGACGGTGTGCCCCATTTTCTGACGTCACTGGGGCCCGTCCGGCCCGACTGAAGCTTCACCGTCGCCGAGGCTCGTGGTGGATATTCTTTTTTTCGACTTCAATAATCTCGCGGAAAGGCAGATGGCGAGCCAGATGCGCGATGGATGGTGAATCGTGGCTTGCAATCTCATCGAGTTTAGGATTCTCCAGTTTCTCTGTCACGGGTCCAGGGGTCGGCAAACTCAAAACTGAATCGAGGATTGCCTTGGATGCGTTGTCGGTCGTTGCCTCTGTCTCCGAGTCAGGTCTCGGGTGTCGCACCAACGACGACCGAAGTACGAGGACGGGTATGACGACCTACACCTGACACCACGTCTCCCGACAAGAGGTTACGGCCCTGCTCGCATACATTATACTTCTTTTGCATCCTCTTGGCAGTCCGGCTTTCACGGGCTCGCCGTCGCGGCATGGATCTTTTTCATCTACTGCCACCAGATCGTGCGATGTTGTTGGGACCGTATTCTAAGCCTCCGTCTTCGAACGTCCCGCGCGCTGGATTTCCCGAGCCGGAACCTCGCCTACAGCGCTGCGAAGTCTCTCGCGCCGCGGGCCCGACACGAGGCGATGGAGTGCAACGAATAATCCCAGTGTTGGAAGATGGCATGGTATCCCGCGGTCCTGACGATAACTACAAATCACCTGTACGGCTGTGGCCCGCGACCCGCCTTCTGAATCGCAAATCCTACTCTCCGGCAGGCTACTGCCAGTAGCACTTGCTTGACGCACGCGAGACAGCGCGTGGGCGCAACGGAGAAGCAGAACCGTTTTTGCGACGGCGCAAACGAACGGGGCGGCCCTGGTTCGACAAACGGTGGCCTGGAAATAAAACTGGATCTGCCGGCAGCAGCCCCCACCGGCATCTCGGGGTGGGGGTGCCAAGGGTGCCCTCGCACGCCAATCAAATGGAGCCTGATGGAGGATTCACGCCGCATTCCATGGGACGGGATTATTCTGCCACAGGGGCCGTTTTCCCGCCCTGCCACCTGCCAACGCTCCGAGCACTGCGCTGCTGGCTGTCTCAGCGCCGCTCGGGCGAGCAGCGACCAACAGTACTTCGTACCTGAGCACAACACACACACATCGACGGAAAGCTGCAGCCCGGAGGCGCGCCTCGCAAACCGTATGTACGAACCTGCCTGCCATGTATTATAGCCGCCGTCAGCAATTGGCAGACGCGCCTGCATGATCCTTCGGCCCATTTCCTCCGCACCAAGATATGCTTCACTTCCCCGCGGCCGCCTCAGGGCGCAACCAGCACCAGCACTTGCCACTACGAGCACCGACAAGTACCTTACTCCGCGTGCTGGGCGAGGTGTGCAGCCCAAAACTCCACGGCCTACAACAAAGTGCGTGGTTACAGGCCGCGGGCGGTCTGTCCGCCCCTCGGCTTTCCCAAACAGGCAATCCCGTACCGGCGGCACGCTTCCCAACCACCACCACCACCAGCATTGTCATCCATCCATCCATCCATCCATCCATCCCAATCCATCGAATCTCGGGGTTTGTTTCATGCTGACGGACGGGCAACAAACTGCTCTAGCCTGTCCCGGGCCTTGACTTTGCGGTGCTTGCCGCGCCTCATGCTCTCTTTTCCCCCTTGCGGTTTCATTTAGGCTATCGGAGGCCATCGTGGGCAAGAGGTCTCCCACGTTTTCTCGTAGAACCCCCCTTTCTCTGCCACAAAGCCCCCTCCCCTCCCCCCCAAAAAATCCGCATCGCTTCGGCCGCCTACGAGTACCACACCTAGTGACTCGACTTTTGACAGTTACATGGCGGCGCTGTTTGCGGCCACTCGTCATCTACCAAGTCGCGTAACCCAACTTGCAGTGTCTCCTCGAGACAATGTGTGGAATCGCATCTCTTGCATGCAAGAGTCGTGTCACGGAGAAGCCAGCGTCGTCTGCATGGAATTGTGGCATGTCTTCTTTTGTTTGCGCTATGCTGCCCAGTCGTCATGTACACATGGACTTGCCCCGAGTTGCGTCTCAGCCAAATATACTCATAGCGAGACGTGTTCTACACGATAAACAGTCCAACCGCCGAGCTGCATGTCGCGGCTCTGCCCTAAATAATGCTGCGCCGCCTAAACGCCATCAATGCATGCATCGTAATATCAACAGCAGCGTTGAGCCTTTTGGCTCTACTTCCTCTCCCGGCCCCTCTTCTCCGCCTCAAAGAGCTCCCTCTTGAAGTCCATCAACATGTCCTCCATTTCATAGACCGAGTCGCGGTCCAGCTTCGCGGTGCGGAGCTTGTCCAGCCCGCTCCGCAGCGTCTCCATGATCGCCTTGGTCTGGTCTCCGCCCTCCCCATGGTCCTCGCGCGGTCCCGCCTTGGCTTTGTTTGTAGCCGTCGCCGGTTCGGCCTCGGTCTGTACCTCCTCCTCTGGCTCCTCGTCGCGTGTGAAGGAGGCGGCAAACGACTCCGAGACTAGCTGTGACATAAGCTCCTCGTCTGTGTCTCCGCCATCCCGTGTCTCGCTCGGCTTATCCTGTCTGGGCGTTGTCGGATTTGTCTCCTGCAAACTGCGCGCAGGGGATTCTCGTTGCGCTCGTCGGCGCGAAGCGCGCCTCGTCTCCATAACCGGCCGTGGCTGGCCCTCGCTCTCCTTTGCTCGCATCTCTGAGTTGGATGCGACCTGTTCCGTTGCCTTGCACTCCTCTTCGACCTCCCTTGACCGCCGTCTCTTACTCCGGCTCTCAGCATGTCGAAGGCTGCGCTTTCGCTTCCTCTTCAGCCCACTGTCAGATTCTCTAGATTCGTCAGGGGTTGCCGTCGCAACGCGGGAAGCCAGCCTCCTAGACTCGCTGCGCGTCATCGGACCTGGGGGTGATGGAGAATCTGTGTGGACTGTGATGCACCGGTTGGCAGGCGAGTTTCTAGCACTGCTTCCCTTGCCACGACCGTTGCCCTTGGGCGCTGGAAGGCCGTAGCGCCGAGCCTCAAGTTCGACAACGAGGTTCATCATCTGGCTCTCATCGCCTTCACTCAGGGCGAAAGACACATCTTTGCCATCCACCTCCGGTTTGTCTTCAAGCCTGCGGGGAGGGGAAGACTTCCGAGGGCTGCTTCGGGCATCCACAAACTCGTCATCATCGGACTTTGGCGTTTCCTGAACCTGGCTTGGAACAGCGAGCTCCTGGTGCCGTTGTGGGGGGGTACTGGGCCGGTTGGCAGCCTTGGTTGGCGACTCCGACATGTCTTGGCTTCCGGCGGCGCTGAGATCATCGTCGGGGATGCTGGAAGGAATGACTTTGCGTGAGCTTCGCGACCTGGCGGAGCGCCTCCGACCCGACCTACGGGTCCGGGGCTGGGGAGTCGCCTCCGCGGGCTTCCTTTCCTGCGCAGACGCTTGGGGGTTCCCCGTGGGAGACCCGGTCGGGGAGGAGAACTGCCAATCCTCCAGTGAACTATTGGCTCTGGACCGTGACTGGATTTCCGACAGGAGGGGGTATGGTCGCGGAAGGGGAGGAGATGACGGGGGATCGTTCATGTCGTCCATGGGCAATATCTGTCCTCGTCTGGGTGTCGGCGTCGAGCTGATCAGTTCATCAAAGGACATATTGTGCTTCGGCGTGCTGGCTTTCGGAAGACACTCATCGGAGGCGTCTGTCTTGTCTTTGGTCGTCGGATCGACAGCAGCGGAAGTGGGACCAGGACTCGAATGCAAGCCAGGATACATGACTGCATTCTCCTGCTGCCTCTCGCGGACCTCTTTTTGCCGCTCGGTCAGATGCTGCGACTCTTCCTGAGCTGGAAGCGAGGGCACGATGGGTGCGAAGTGAATCTGAGAGTTGTCGTGGCGAAGTCGTGAAGTGCTCGCCCTCTTGGCCGGCTTTTCGAGCAGTTCTGACGCGATCTCCGAGCGTCGCTTTCTGGTCAGTGGCCGCTTAGACACAGATGCTGCAGGAGAAGCTGCCTGTCTCGAGTTGTGTCGCGTCGACGACGACGAAAGTACCACGGGGCTTTCGTGCTGTGGGAGATCGACAAAAGAGGACGCTTGTGCGCCAAAATCACCGCTTGCGAGATCGGCCCCAGGCATGATGAGATCGACTCTCGATCGAAGGGAGGACACGATGGACATGAGGCTGTCCGAGCACTCTACCTTCTCTTCATCCTTCACCACAGCGTTCCAGACATCAGCTGCCCGGCTGACGACGAAAGAGTGCTTGCTCTTGAACGCAGCGGCAAGAAGTGGCTCTACTAGATCAAAGTCTTTCTTCTCAAGGCGCCCGTGCGCAGCCAGTTCAATGCATAGTCGATCCCAAAGCTGGCGCAACTGTGATGTCTCAGTCATGCATCTTGGTGATGTTTGAGGGGATAATCCTACCGTCTTGAAGATGGGAGACTCCTCGTGTGACCGAAAATGAGCCTCTTCGTCTTGAAGCCAAGGGCATAGACCGGTTTGCATTCTGGAGATCATCTTGATTACCGTCGAATCCGAGACACATCGATCCAGAAACCTCCCAACAGCTTCAAGCAGGGCATCCGTGTCAGTCGTCGTCTCAGGCCCCCCATAAGTGTTGTACAAGGAGACTAGAGTAGCGTTGCCGAGTTTGTAGAGATGATCAAAGGGGTCCGGTGAAGCGACCTTGCCCAGGGCTGGGGGAGCGCCCCAAAGTCGGAGCCGAGCAGTGTCCAAGGCCTGTCGATCGCGCGGCACCTTTGCGACATCGAACAGCATCGCTGCGACACGCGTACGTGAAATGGAGGCGGTTAACCTGTCTTGCGGTGCATTTTCGAGAAGTGCTTTTGCGAGAGGCTCCACGAGGACGAGGGCGCGACCGGCATCGCCAAAGTCCCGGCCAACATTGGCAGACACGAGGTCGAACAGTGTCTGCCAGTGTGTAGCAGGCAAGTTCGGGTGACACATGAGGCCGCGCTCGAGGAGTGACACAATATCTCGATATTCGGGCCCGAGAAATTTGTCGCCGCTGCTAGAGACAGCAGATCCAGACGACGGCGGAGCGGCCTTGTCCAGGGACGGCTTCACTTTGTCTGCCGCCAGAAGCCATGGACCAAATGGTGAGAGTGTATTTCGCGGCAGCAATTGCATGATTTCCCATGCAAGGTCAGCACGTGCCTTGGCACTCTTGCCGGTGAAGAATGGCTCGAAGACTTCCTGGAACATGTCTGCCAGGTCCCCATTATCACCGCAACCAGGAGGAACGGAGCATAGCATGACAAACAAATGGTGCAAAGGCATTCGAGCAACTCCTTGAGCCTTTTCGACCTTGTCGAGCCGTTGCGATGGCGTAGCGGCTGGCTCAAACGTGTTGTCATCGCCCATGGTGAGCTTCTTCTCTGTAAAGGGCAGCACGCCAAGTCCATCGATAAGTAGTTGAACGTAATGCTTCGAGCTGGCAAGAAACTTGATGTTGTGAGTGGCATCATCATCGCTCGACCCAGCTGTCCAGACCTTGGATAGCAAGCCGAAGCTGCAGGCAAAAAACCTGGTAGTCTCGTCAGACACCTTGATGTCTTTGGCTGACGCCGCAGCAACCGTCTTGACAAGCGCTTGCCACAGTCTGTATACCAGGCTCTCCTTGTTGGCCAGGTCCAAGAACTTCTTCTCCAGAATGGGTCCGGCGGCCTGCAATACCTTGTCGCAATTCCTCCTGACCCATTTGGAGTCAAGTGGTAGGAGGTCCTCCGGCTTGAGCGGTGTTGGATCCATGATGCGCTCAAGGTTGCGCGGCGGCCGAGGCGTGGAGACATCTAGCAGCCCGACAAGAATCCGAGCTGCTTGCAACAGGGAGTCGGCGGGAGCATCGGGGTTGCCGTCCAGGCTAGTGAGCTGGGCGACGACGGGCTGAACGGCGGCATCCCAGACAACATCTGTGGGGTATTTGTCGTCGCTCTGGGCGAAAGCGAAGTAGTACAGGCTGCACACGCCGCCCATGACTATTCGTCGAAGCTCTTGCTGCTTCGCGCTCGCTTTCCTTTTGAGCTGGCTCAATAGGGGTTGGCAGAGTATGCTGATGGATTTTGTCGGAAGCTTGCTGTCAACCAGGGAGAGGTAGACGTAGCGGTTCCAGGCATTGTTTGCCTCTTGTTTGGTGATTACGTCGGGCATATTGAAGGCGGTTTGGACAAGCGTCAGCCAAGGGCCGTAATACTGCCATCGGTCCAGGGGGCAGCGCAGAAAGAGGATAACGACGCTCCAGATCTGCGGCACCGCGGAGCTCACTTGCTTGTCTTTGAGCATGGCTTGTAGTCTCTTGATGTAAAAGTCGATGTAGGTTTCTTCGTCGTTGACAGCCTTGAATATCTCTGCGACCTTGCGGGCCAGACTTTTGTCGGATCTTAGCAAAAAGCCAGAGGTTGTTCCCAGACTAATTGCCTGGGCGCGGATCTCCTTGATGGAGCTGAGCATGTCAGTAAAGAGATCCTTGAGCCAGTCGGAATGGGCCACCATGTGGACACGGGATTGCTGCACAAGCCGCTTGTAGATCCATATTCGGCTCATGACAATGCTTTTGCCTTTGAGGTGGCCTTCGAGATTGTGCAGGGCCGCCACAAGCCGTCCAACCCGATCTGACGTTAGAACCTTGGCTGAGAAGCTCTGCAGAGCGACGACCTGCATCAAATGGCGGACAACATCCTTGGGTATTGAGGGGTCCTCGAAACTTCGAATGGCATGATCAATCATGAAGATGCCAAAGTCTGAGGCGATGGTCGAGGCAATGGCTTGAAAGTTGAGGAATGTGGCAAGAAGGTTGAGGGCATGGTTGATCAGGGACGTGTCAAGGCTGCCGTTGTCGTTCCTCGACACAATGTCTCGTTGGATGAACTGAGTGAACAAGCTCATCTTGTCCTGCAAAGCAACCCGATCGGGCAGGTTGTTGGACGTTTTGAGCGCGCGGGCAAGCATCATGTAGGCATCGAGCTTGGAGTCGCGGTCGGAACCGGCGAGCTGCCGGACGGCGGACTCGAGCATCTCCACAATGTTTAGCTGGGCGGTTGTGTCATCCAGTTGGCTCCCTAGAGATGATGATAGGTGTGTCGGAGAAGACGACCGCTTCAGGATCCCCTTGATGGGTTTGGACGAAGCCGAAGACAGCGCAGAGGCGGGAGACGATCGGATGCCGTTGCGATAGTCGGGAGGGTCCTTGTACTCGGTGCGACTGGACCACTCCACCTTCTTGCGCGTCCTGCTCGAGCTCGGAACAGAGCTTGTCGGGACGGGAGAGGACGGCGAATGGGCGTTGGGTGGCGTCTGGAGGCTCCGGCGTGGGTCGAAGGCTTGAGAGCGGGAGAGGATGACGGATCGAAGGGAGACGTCGGGGTCGGGAACGGGTGGCTCCCGTGGGGGCGTCGGCGGTCTCGTCGGCAGAGACTTGAAGATGTTGATTGTTACGTCGGAAGGAGTGGCCGAGGCTACTGTAGATGCCATGGCTGCTGGGAGGGAAGCAGGCAGCAGGCTGGCGATCTAGAGAGCGGTGGAGCGGCCAGCGGCGTCACGGAGCGAACCATGCATCCAGCAGAGACGCGTCGGGCCGCGGAGAAACGAGAGAGGACAGAAACGGGAAAAGAGAAAAATGAGGTTCGCGCAGAGAGAGAGATGGAGGACCAAATACAAGGAGGCGACGCTGAAGCGGAAGAGGTAGGATGCGAAAGAGACGATGGGGGATGAGGAGTCGTGCAGCCAAGTCTGGCTGGCATCCCTGGCGTGCATGCAATTCACGTCTTTTTTCCACTAAACGCGACCACGCTCACACGAGACGCGTTAAGCAAGGCCGTGCCGTGGATGGGGCCTGGGGGCGAGCGTGATCTGGCGCAGGCAAGCTCAACTGGGGCTGGTGCTGCCGCTGAGGACTGTGGCTGTGGCCCCATACGGTCTGCCTGGGAGGCGGCCCGCCCCACGCGACCAGCCAGCCGCCCAGGCGCTTCCGCAGGTCAAGTCAGAGATCAGACAGTGAGCTCCAGTGGAGTCAGGGACGCCTCCTGAACAGTCAGCCCGGGCAGCTGCGCAGGGCGTCCGTCCGTGGACAGCCCAGAGTCGGCCCGTGCATTGCCCGCACTCAACATCCAACAACGTGTTGCGGGGGGCTGGGACCAGCCTCCCGTCTTGCTGATGACGGGAGCGCAGAGCACGCAGATGGCGGTGGTCCGACCATCTCTGCCGGGCTTTTCTTCTTCTTCTTTGCAGTGCGACGGCAAACAGTGGACAATACAGCACTAGAAGTTGTGGTAATCCATAATAAGCCCCCTCCACTGCTAATTGTCCGCCGGAGAATCGGTACCAAGCCAAGGTTGCTTGTGTGCTCCTCGAATCGGGGGTGCTGATACGCCTCAAGTAAACAGCCAGGTACCCCTCGTTTTGTACGGAGTGTACCATCAACATCAAGAGCTGTATCTCAACGGCCCACGCCTCAGCGCATGCGTCTCGTGCGTGTGTGCAACGGCAATGCCACTTGCGGCCTGGCGTGATTTGGGATGCCTTGAACTGGTGCGTGTCCAGCCATCGGCATTGACTGGCTCTTTGGCGCGCGATGAGCACTCGAATCGTCATACGCCGCCTGCCGGACTTCTCATTGACAGTGCAGATCGTGGCCAGCGGCGAGTCAAAGCTTGGAGGTCATGTCATGATCCCCGCCTGCCACCCCCAACGCCACCCCCAAGGGCCCCAACCAGTGGCGCGCAGGTAAGGCAAGTCAAGGCGCGACAGGCAAACCAAGCAGAGGTACACACCGAATCTCCCCGCCAGGCCGAATGCATGTCTTTCGCTGGAACGGATCTTCGCTGCACCTAGGCTGTACCAACAGGTCAGGTCAGTCTGCTCGGCGCTGTTGCTGGCTCACATGCCTTACTATTCCCTAGGTTCCTGAGGGTAGCAGCTGAAATGAAGCAACGGGACCGAATTGGCCTCGTGCCAAGGCAAGGCACTACTGCGCTTACTTGAGGCAATCGGGCAGCCTCTTGCAGGCGGCGTGGGTGATAATAAGCTGTTGCTTTTTGTTCCGCCGCCATCGGCCGCCCACGTAACAGTGGAAGGCGCCATTCATCCCAAACCTTCGGGCGGAGAAGACAAAAAAAAAAGACCGACGACTTCTTGAATCGATTCATTCTACATACTCCATCTATCGCTTGCATGCCCCTCGTCACATCTGGTTTTTTCGTTTCTTTCCTCGCAGCCCTGAGCACGTCGCATCCTCCTCTCCCGTAGCCGTCGCATCCTTGTTCTGGCTGCCGTAGAGCTCCTATTCCGCCGTGGGGCCTGCCCCATCTCCCTCGTCGACCCCGTGTTCCAGAATTCCACCACATCTAAATTGCCCAAGGCGCCTACGTGCCTACCCGTGCTGACAACCAACGTGGCCATCTGTCCCATCACAGCTACCATGGCAGGCCAAGCGACGTCAGGGCCGGGTTGGTGTTTCCCCCTCACTGGAAGCAGCTCTGGTCTGACCAATCGCAGCAAAGCTCCAGGCCGTCAAGGACCTCGTGAAGAAGCTCACTGAGGATCTCGAGAGCATCACGTTGCTCCCGTCAGGTTCGCCACCGACTCAGCGCCCGGACTCGCGTATGAGCTAACATGTATATCACTCAGAGCGTGAAGAAGCACTCGAGCAGCTGAAAGTATATGGCAGAGACCCGAGGGGTGCCGATCCCATTTTCACCCAAGATGTCCGTTATGCGATCCGACAGCCAGCCGTTTGGCGACAAACATACACAGGAAAGCTGACGCGCACCAGGGAATCACAATGCTCCTCAAGCACGCATTTTATAGCCCTTCCACAAGCACGGCCAAAGCGGCTCTGAGGGTCTTGGCCAACGCCATGCTCCTGAAGCCTGAGACGAGACAGATGTTCGTCGACCAGGGTTTCGCCACAAGGGCCTGCAAGGAGCTCAAAGTGGACAACTGGGACAACGAGTTTCTCATCTCGCGGGTCCTTTTCCTCGCTACCTACGGCACAAAGCTTGGCCTCGACGACCTGATTGACCAGCATAGCCTCGCCGACAACATCATCGACAACTTAAACCGCCACGCCAAAATCCTCTCAACCAAGCCAAAAACCAACGTGGATCCAATGGAAGAAATGGCCCTTGGAGAAACGTTGAAGCTCATGTTCAACGTGTCTCACTTTTGCCAAGAAAAAGCGTCCCTCTTCGTCCCGGCAGTCCCTCATATTGTGGTGCTGTTGTGGAAACGGGACATACCGAACGAAAAGCAGCTCGACCCTCCCTTCGGTCACCTAGTCAATGCCCTGCTCAATCTCGACCTAAAAGCCGACAAGAGTCAATCATCCTTGTACCCAAAGACTGAACCGACAAGAGTCTGTGCCAGGCTGGTGGCACTACTCGACGGTTCGATAAAGTCTTACTCGGACAGCGAGCTCGAAACGGTAGTGACCCCTCTGGTCAGCTTGATCCGCAAAATCTACGACGGTGCGCCAGATCCTGTGCAAAAATACCTGCAAGATAGCCTTCTTCCGACAGCAAAGGATCGGGAAGCTGTACTAGGGCGTGGCGAAACCTTGACGGCCAAGCTGCTCAAGAACTCGACAAACCCGATGGCGCCTGCGTTGCGAGAAGCCATTTCTCATCTCCTCTTCGAGCTTTCCAGCAAAGACGCATCCAAGTTCGTTGAGAACGTTGGTTATGGCTTTGCGTCCGGGTTCCTTTTCCAGAACAATGTGCCCATACCTGCTTCAGCGTCGGAGGCGTTCAGCACGGGAGACACAAGCGGGGCACAGAAACCCGTCAACCCGATAACAGGGCAATTCTACGACAAAGAAACGCATGTGGAAGAGCCGCAAATGACTCAGGAGGAGAAGGAGCGAGAGGCCGAGCGGCTGTTTGTGCTTTTCGAGCGGTACGTCCGGGCGCCAGGAACACGGCTGAGCAAGGCAAAGACTGACCTTCTCCTAGACTAAAGCGGGCCGGAATCAGCGTGCAGAACCCCGTCGAGGCAGCCGTTCAAAGTGGCCGCTATCGAGAGCTAGGTGATGATGAGGTAGAGGAACTCGACTGAAGTGGGGACAGCGTGATAGCACGGTGGCAGCATATTCCTGGCGGATGCGGGTCATAGTTCCCGTGTGATCTGCGGCGGCCATGCACAATGTGCAGGATGCAGATACCAGTGGAAGTAGGACATCGCGTGGCTTTTGCAGTAGTTGGCAACACATGTAAGTGCAGTCCATACACGAATATTACCATAATATCCCCTGGTTTGAGGGGGCTTCAGCGCGATGCGAGGCCAAGCATGAAGCGCATGTATGGTACCTAGGCAGCTTTTGTGGGTGAACAGAGTGCCTCATGTATTGTGCGCCACAGCCGAAAAGAGTCTTGATGAACAAGCGTTGACATGTAGGCGGGCCTCGCCTGTTTGTTCCGGAGACTGGGGTCGTCTGCACAGCTTCTCTTCGAACAGTCGAATTACTGGAATTCTGAGGCACGCGGTGCCAATGCAGTGGGACTATGTGCGCCTGATGCAAGTGACCTGGAATTCCTGGTCAAACGGCCGTTCATTATGGCAGTTGCGACCCGCCACTCACGGAGCCAGGTCCTGCCAAATCGAGTCCTGCGCCGTCTGCCATTCCCTGAACACATGACCAAGCGCCTGAATCATTGCCACACCAAGCAAGCAAACTCTTCTCTTGCAAACCACTTTCCGTGACTACTTCCACCGGGCCCAGTGGGAGCAGGCATCTCGGAACTCAGACCGTTCACCCTTCGCCATCGCGAGGAGTCGTTTCGCATCTTGCCGTCCTGCCACTCTCCCTGCGTTTCCACACACTCTGAGTTGTGCAACTCTTACCTCGAGGCTCCTCTCAAGCTGTGTTTCCTCGACCGCACCAGCCATGACTCCAGGCAAGGTCTCGTTATTCATCGGCCGCGAAGTGAGAGTTGATCGCGCTGAAGCCGAAAAGTATATCCGAACGCCGCCAGTCCCCATGTGTCTTTGATGCTGACCTCATTCAAAGCATTCGGCACAGCATCGAGCCAGCGGCCGCCAGCTTCCCTGAACCCAGCGCGATTGTATCGGATATTGCGCACAACCTCTACAATACGGATGACGAGGCCCTTGACGGTGTCTCCGTTTCTGAAAATGGCGAAAGCAACCCGGGAAACGATGAATGGTCTGATCACGAAAGGGAGAAGAAGAGAATTGCGCCAGCGGTCACCAGTCGTCGGCAAAAACGGAGAAGCGACGCCCCTCGTCGCTCGACACGACTACGCACTACGACAGTGAGCTCAGCACGACTTTCATCCACCTCTACGGGTAAAATGGCCAAGACCAAAGTCTCAAAGACGACGAGCACCTCTGTTCGCACACCTCAGAAGAGACAGTCAAAGAGACCTCTACCCGACGATGAGTGGGAGGTGGACAAAGTAGTTGATGACCGTATCGACGCCGAAACGTACGTGCACTACTATTTGGTGCAATGGAAAGGATGGGCTCCGAAACACAACACGTGGGAGCCAAAACGAAATCTATCGCATTGCTGGAGCATCATCGAAGAGTATGAGGCCCAAGGCCAGCGCGGGCAGGGTGGCAAGTAGCAGTTCTCAGAAGGCGGTAGTTGACGTTGGCGAGCTTTGTATGCGGGCCACGAACCGGCCAGGCAGTGTCGAGTTCCAGAGAAGTGCTGGGCGGACTCCGCAGGCCTATCGTCTGTGACGGCGGGCAACCTGGAACATCAGGCAATTTGGACGTTTTACGCAATTACTTTTTGAGGCATCTTGACTTTGAGCTGAGATTACAATTAGGCGCCCTGGACGGCCCTCCATTCTACCAGGAGTTAGAAATTTGCTGTGAGGCTGTTGCCTGGCTCCCCGATGTCCGGAAACCCCAATCACTGCGAATTATCAAGATACGCCTTGATGCCCAGAATAGTACCGGCAAGAGGCAACAGGCCGCGCATAAAGTTCATAATGCCCCAGCGGTCAAGCAATTCCTTCGCCTGGGGTTCCGTCCCAGATGTGCCGTCCTTGTTCAGCTTGTGCAGCTTGTCGTTGGTGTCAGTCATGACGAGAAGTGTGAACGGCACGATGCCGACGACACTTGCGGCCGCGGCCGCGAACAGTTGCCACTGCCCGCCCGCGCGACGCACGTCGTATGCGGCGTACGTATAGGCCAGCGCGACGGTGGCTCCGGCCCTTGGCATGAGGTTGGCACCGCGGGCGTATACGTCGGCCCAGAAGGCCGTGGCTTTTTCCGGCACCGCCTTTGCAGATGGGATAGAAATGAGCGTGAGGCTCGTGATGACGCCTGTTTTTCATAGTTTGAGCTTCACATGTACACACAATGTCTCGCGACGTGGATGTGATGGTTATTTACCTGACGCCCAGGCGGATCCGACGATGCCGGTGGCGACGGCGACCAGGGTGGGTCCTGAGAGCTGCATTGTCGTGTCGCTCAGGAGAGATACGGTTGATATGGCGAGGAGAGGATATCCGGATACAAAATTAATGGTTCATAAATGTCTTTTGAAGGGAGGGAGAGTGTCTGGAATCTTTCAAGGCAAGCACGGGGTGGTGCAGGGTAGTTTGTCGCAAGCCACATAGGGAACGCATACGTAGGTCATTGCGACGCACCCACGAGGAGCGAGTCACCAGATCCGGACTGTGACGTCTTCCTCAATTCCAGCCTCCAGGGGTGGATTTGGCCCAGGGCCTTCTACTATGCGCTTTTTGGACGCAGTCACCTCTGCCGAACAATGCAATGCCGTCCTTATAATCCACACCTCCATCGCTAGTCGTTGCATCATGCCTCGCCACAAACAACAAAGGGGCTTGAGGCTAGGGGGCTTTTGGTTTGCGCGCGACACGCCTCAGCTCGCGGCCGGCTTGCGACCGACAAACGCGTACAGGACGGCCCTCTGCGTCGGGTCGCGCAGGTCGTCCTCCTCCCAGACCTTGACGAGGTCGAGCTTGCACTTGCGCAGCACGTTTTGGCTGGCGGCGTTGGAGTCGAGCGTCACGGCCACGATGCACTCGTCGACGAGGCGCCCGTCGGCCACCCCCTCGGCCGAGACGCTGCTCTTCTCTACCTTCAGCTCGACCTCTGCGCGCGGCAGCGCCCACCACGCCTTGAGGAACCCGTTGACCAGCTCCGTCGCGTAGCCCCTGCCCCAGAACTCCTTGCGCAGCATGTACCCGATGACGGGCCAGCCGAGCTCCCCGACCACCATGTGGCAGCCGCCCGTGCCGATCATCTCGCCCGTCTCGGCGACGCAGATGACGAACTCGTACTTGGCGTCGCCTAAGGGCGCGAGCCGCTTCTTCATCTGCTCGCGCGACCACTCCACGTCCGGGTCCGGGTGCCCCTGCGACGTCCACTTCATCACCTCGGGCTGCAGACGCAATGCGTGCCACCCGTCGAGGTCGCTCTCCAGCGTCCGCCGTAGGATCAGCCGCTCCGTCCGGATGTCGGGCCGCCCATCCAGCAGCGGGTACGGCACCGCGGGCAGCGTCGTCTTGACCGTGACCCATTCCATTGGCGTTGGTTCGAGCATGGTGATTGTGTGGTGGACTGTGGCGTCGGAACAGGCGTAGGGGCCGGAACGGGGGGTTGCTGCAAATTTCTGCTTGAGCTGTAGTTGAGGTTGTTTCCTGCCCGGCTCGCTTGATGCCCCGTAACTCTCCCGCAAGTGGTTGACAAACAATTATTCTTGGATTGATGGTCGTACTGGCCTATGCACATGTCTTTGCAAGGGCTCAAGTCCTATTTATCTCTACGGTGAGTCACGGCGACTAAAGGCCGGTCTGTCAAAAAGCCAGCCGGCGTTGTGGGTACCGTACACGACTCACTCAATTCTCGGTGCCTGCCGGCCAAGTCCGTTCGTAAAAGCCGTATTCGTATCAACGCCAATTGCGCACCATATGCAGGGAACTCATCGCGCAATGCCTCAATACAGAAGTTCGGAACACCCCTGTCACTTTCAATACTCCTCGGCATAACGTGGGGTTGTTTAACGTCCGCAGGCGCGGCGGCTTGCAAAAAGAGCAACTCCCGGCGAATCCATAGTCAGACTATGCATTCTCGAATTCGGCATTCGTACTCGCGAGGTAGTGGCAGACGATCAACATTGGTTCGGATACACTTGGCGCCTTCTCCCAAGCCTGTCAGCGCGCCAACACCGTGGCGCTGCCTGCGCACTCGAGGTGCCTCTCATTGCCATACCTCGATTCGCGCCGCCGACCACCGCATACACCTCACGTCACTTCATCTTGGCGCCAATCCGTAGGTTCAGAAATTTTTGGTTCATTCGCTGCCCGTTTTGTCAGGCAAATGCAGTTGATATTTCCATGATCCCTAGTGAACACCCGCAGAACCCTGCCCAACCGTCTCCAAAACCAAAAACACTCTAAGCGAACGTAGCGGGTCGCTGCGCGCTGAACAGCTTCGTCGTGGCGGCCTTGGTGACACGGTGGGGGAGAGGGAACTTCAGGTTCTTGGTAACGAGCTGCCTGATGTAGGGGCGCTTGACGTCCTCGGTCTTCTCAAGCTCGACAACGCGGAGAATCTACTCGCAAGTTAGCGGACCCCAGCACTCCTTTGCAACTGGTGCATCGCATCAAACGTACGTGGATCGACCTGAAGCGGGCGCGGTGGCGGGCAGCCATGTCGGAGTACAGGGCCTCGACGGCGTCGACGCGGGACATCTCGCGGTACTCCTTGTACATGTTGTGGGTGCCGGAGCGCGAGTCGTAGCGCAGCCAGATGCCGAAGTTCTTGACCTTCTGGGGGTGCTTCTCGTGCTGGGCCTTGACCGAGACGATCTCGCCGGTGGCCTTCTTGACCTTGCGGAGACCGCGAAGGAAGTACCAGAAGCGGGACTTGGCGACCGTCTCGTTGGGGGCGAAGATGGTCATCCGGTACATGTCCGGAGTAGGGTTGGCCTCAGTGGGCAGATGGCGCCCGATGACCTCGTATTCCTGAAGACGACCTGCCTCAAGGTCAGTACTTAAACCACACTGGTGTTGAATATCGCAGCCCGCCGCCGCCACACAAAGAAGTTGAGGGAGCCCGTTGGCGTCGCGGGTCGCGTGAGTTCCGAGTTCGAGGGACGTCGTTGGGGCAGTCGCAGTACGCGATACCTGCATCCTTTCGCAAGAAACGCATCCAGACGTCTGGGCGGTTCATCGTTTCGTCCACTGTCGCGGCCCTCCGTCGTGCAAATGCAAATTCGGGGTGTCGAGACTCGTTGTGATGCGGGCGGCCAGTTCGATTCCTCCTCAACTCTTCGGTGGCATGCGGCGTGGCACTGAAAACACGATAGAACTAGAGAGATGCTTACCCATCTGTATTTCTGTCAGTAACTGAAGCAATTGCAATGGCGTTGCCGACTTACGGTGACGGTGGTCAATGTCTCCAACTGCTGGCGAAATTTGAAGATTGTCTGAAGTTGGGAAGGGACACAGCGATAATTTTTGTGTGCGGAGGGTGGGGAGGGCTGGAAGGGACGCACGGTGGAGGGCTTTGACCTGGACGGCGATTGGCTGCTCAACAACATGGGCCCCGCCGGGATTGGATTTTGTGATCACGTGAAAAGTCACGCCCGCCGCTGGGTTCTTCCTTACCATTTTGACCCTAGCGGGCAACGGCCCAAGCCAGATGGTCAGTTGCGCTGGGTCCGGTACGTACCGGTCCCTTGAGCGGCTGCCTGGGGAGCACTTCCAGAGCTGCAGCTCGTCCATCTCGGCCGGCTGTTGCTGTCAAGATCCCCGTTTGTCAGATACCTCCAACCACAACTCACCACCGCGGACCTTCGATTTCTCGTTCAGCCTGCCACAAAGAGGCCGAACACCAGCAGCGTCTTACGACCAACGGGACTAAATTCGGCGGTTGGACAGTTTGTCCCGGAATCGAAAGGTCCTGACGCGATGAATGAGTTGTTCGAGCAGTTCGCTGAGGCGCAGACCGTTAGAAACGGATACCTGCTTGCACAGACGCTGTCACCTGTACCGCCACCAGATGATGCTCATAGGCTGAGGAAAATCTGGCAAAGTACCAACTCTCACAGCGTGAAGGGGGACATCAAGCACTTCATAAAGACGCAATCCTCCTATCGGGCTAGTCTCGATGCCGATGAGATCAACGGCTGGGTGGAGGTGTATGCAGCTTATTGGAATGCCATCGGAGAGATCCTCGCGGGCGAGAGCGGAAAGGTATAGGCATCCAGGGCATGCTTCCATCTTTGCAGGAAGTGCTAACCGAGCGTGCAGTCCACATGGACCAAGGTGTATGAGTCGTGGAAAGACCTCACGTCCATGCTGATACGAGGATACAACAACTTCGGCTTCGAGGCGTGGACAATCCCAAGCCTGTATCTCGTTGGCAAGTATCTTCGACTGTTCGCCATCAAGTCCGACGACGAACGCAGCCGCAGTTCCGCCGACCCGACTACTGCCGCGTCCCTCATGCAGGATGACTTCGACCCGGAATCTGGGAAGCAAGCCCAGTTGAGAGACTGCGAGCAGCACTTAAAGCGCATCTTTACGTTGTGCTTGAATGACAGGTATGAGATACCGAATGCGGCCTTGAATGTGGACGAGCTGACAGTGAAACAAAGAGCCCCCATCGAAGAGTCGCGAAAATGGGGCATCTATTTTGTCATCAACTTGCTCTTCAAGACCTACTTCAAGCTTAACTCGGCTTCCCTATCGAGGACAATCTTGAAGACGTTGGCCGTTTACAACGACAAAGGAGATATGCCGCCGCTGGAGGCGTTTCCGAAGGCCCAGAGAGTGACATTCAAGTATTATGAGGGAGTGCTGTTCTTTTTGGAAGAGAACTACGTTCAGGTGTGTGCTTGATCTCGATATCCCTATTTTTGCGCAGTCTATCCGGTCCCCCATGACCACCACATTCTGACCAAATGATCAGGCAGAGAAACATCTTGTCCAGGCGTGGAATCTTTGCCACAAAGATGCAAAGGCGAATTTGGAGTGCGTCCTCAGAGCTCAACCGACCACGAGCAAAGCTGACGTTGTGCAGACGCATCTTGACTTACCTTATTCCATGTCGGCTACTCACCAGCCATGTTCTGCCGACGAAGAAACTGCTGGAGCCGTTTCCGCGACTGCAGGACCTATTCTTGCCGCTTGCGCAATGTATTCGGCGAGGGGACCTGCGCCAATTTGACATTGCACTGCAACATGGCGAAGACGTTTTTGTCAAAAGACGCATCTACCTGACTCTCGAGCGCTGCCGCGACATTGCCTTGCGCAACCTACTGCGCAAAGTCTTCATTGCTGGAGGCTTCGACGAGGCCAAAGATGGAGACGCGGCGCCGGTTCGGCGAACAAGAGTCCCTGTCGCAGAGTTCCGCGCCGCCATTTGCATGGGAAGTGGTGGAGAGACCATTGACACTGACGAGGTAGAGTGTCTCTTGGCCAACATGATTTACAAGGTATGTCTACTCGCGACAAAACAAACGGCTTGCACGCTGTGCACGCGCACTCGACGGCAGTCCCATCGATCATCTGACTCTGTGTTGCGTCGATCGTCCTATTCCCGTTGGGCCTGGCACAGTGTGCCTCAGGAACAAAGGCTCACCAGTTTGCTCTGACGCACAGCGCTTAGCACGCTCCGTACCAAGGGATGAGTCACTAACAAAATTTTGCCTTTTAGGACTTGATGAAGGGCTACATTGCCCGTGAACGAGGCATCGTCGTGCTGTCCAAGAAGGGGGCGTTCCCGGGCACAGGCGTTTGAGGGGAAGATGGGCGCGCTGCCCGCACGAGACGAGGCATGAGATATGACTTATGCGGAGCCACCGCCTGAACAGCGCATGGTCACAATAATTATAGATGAGGATGTAGATGTATCAAACACCTGGCTTCCAGCATGCTGCTGGGTTGCTCACTGGCTACTCTGGTATTGTGATGGATGTGTGGAAGATCGTTATACATGGTATCCCGCATGGTACCAGCACTCACGCCTGCGATATTTGTCGCATCCTCGAACCTTCACGACGGCGTGCAATCCACAGGGCGAGCTACTTGCCGGGTCGCATCCCCGGGCGTACATACTACGTACACACATCCCTTGCCACCCTCCTCCAGCTTTGACCATGCACGCTCCTCCCTCGCCCCCCCCATGACTCATTTGGGGCCAAATCAAGACCTTTGAGAAGCAGTCTGTTCTTTTTTTGCAAGGCAAGGGACTATGCAGGCGCGTCATAGCGCTCGGCGAACCACCGACGAGTCTTGGTGGGTGGTGTGGCGACACGGAACCATTTGAGGCCTGCACCACTTCACGCGCCGTACGGTCACCGCAAGTCACCCATGTGAGGAGGTGCTGTGATACGTGATTGAAAACAGCGGACTCGTCATCTCCAAGCCTCTTGTTTTTAATAACGCGTGCAACGAGCGTTACGAAGGTAATGTTACAGTCGTCCGCATGGCGAAGACATCGGGTCAGTCTTGCGATAGCCTCAGCTACCGCCCCGTCTCATACGCTGCCCGTCGACATCTAGCGTCCAAGGATGCCTTCCAAAGAGATAGACCAAGGAGAAGGAAAAGGGGACCCCGTAAGCCCAAGTTAGGGATCCCAGGTATAAGTCCAAACCGAGAAGAGTAATTGTACATGGGTAGCGACGAAAGCAATGCCGGCAATCCTGTCAAGTAAACAGACCTTAACAATTCTAAAAAAAAGACCATAACGCCTAGAACGCTCGTTTGTGCGCTTGTTTTTGTGCGGTTTATGTAGAAGCTTTCGCGACACACCCATGTCACGGACGGTAGCTGAGCGGGAAAAGAAAGCATAAAGCTCGTTGAGAACATTGCGAAGTGGCCATCGAAGAGCGGCCTGAGCCATCAGTAGTGGCGGTTGGATCGTGGCGTGCTTCTGCAGGGGAAAGAGGATCAGAACGCGGGCTCATGGACATTCAGCGAGCTGACTCACTGCGCGGATGAGATGTCGTCAACATGGTTGCACAAGGCCACGAAGAGGTCGAAGAACAGCTGCGTGCCGCCGTTGAACATCTCAAGCTGCATCGTGCCGCTGCGCTTGAAAGTGCTGCGAGAACGAATGATCAAGGCCAAGTAATGTGCCCGAAGCTTGGAGTCGTTGTCCGGCGTGTTGGCGTATGCATATCTAGCAGACGCCAGGATGGTGCTGCACTGGATGCCCGATTCTGCAACTATAAGTCAGGGGTGAAAGAAATTTTGGAGCAGCCGTAGCACTTACGGAGGCCCTGCTTGCGCAGCGCGAGTTTCTTCAGTTCTTCAAGCCCGTACTTTTCCGCCGCGCAGTATATCACAGTGTCCTTGAGCAGGTCACCATCGACGCCTCGATGGTAAACGATGCTCTCGGACCTCCCGTCACCCACAGTGGGCTCCAGCTCCCACGAGTTGCGTCTCTTATTATGCCGAAGTCGTGGGTAGTAGTCGCCCTTATACAAATACTCGAGCACAGAGCTGAATATTTCCGGTTCCTCGTCGGCCAGGGCGATGCGTTTCGCTAACGGATCCATGCAGCCGTTTCGTAGGGCGTTGAAGAAGAATGGGCTAGCACACAGCGCTTCTTCGTGCGCGGCGAAGAGTCGCTGCTCAGCCCCGACGACGAGGGTGACGACGGGAGATGACGTGCCGCTGTGGATGGAAAGTCAGCTACACTCAAGGCTGAATGCAGAGAGATGGGGGGCATGGCTTACTTTGACATGGCGGTGTCGTCGGTGGCTGTCGTGGTTGAGGCCGTTCCTGGCCTGCGGTGGCGAGACTCATGTCGCCGCTTCGACACGCCGCTCTCCCTGCTGAAGGACGAGCTCGACTTGGAGAGCTTGTGGCTCTTGGAGAAGCTCCTATTGGAAGTCTCGAACCGCTTGCTGAACATGTTTGCGGCTTCCCCGGTCGGCAGCGGCGATGCCGAATGTGTGGCGTCGATGCACGGTGTTGAGGAGAAAGGTCGCAGGCAGAGCGAGCGGATAAAATACAGGCACAGAGGCAAAAATGACCGGAAGACGCAATCCAGAGGAAAGTGGCAAATGTGCTTGACTGGATTTCACGGCGTCTGCAGGCGTAAATGAAAGAAAGACCTACCTAAGGCATCGAGGGGTCGAGGTGAGGATGAGGCAGCCAGACGACGACGCAGAAAGCTCTGCCGGCGACGCGAGGTGGCAGCCATGCTGTTTTATACCCAGGAGGCCCCCCTAGAACCTGCAGGCAACCTTTAGGTGACGGCGGCGACAATCACGCAAGGGTATGGGAGGGACAAGGCGTCCCGGCACCATTAGTAGGTACCAAGAGGGTTTGGTGAGAGTTGGTCCGTTTGGCGCGACCCAACCGCGTTGAGAGCTGTGACACTAGCGGGGCAAGCGCGATATCAACGCGGGCTCACGTGAGAGGGCCAGGCAAAGGAAGAGGCGTCCTGGGCTCCTGGGCAGGGATTCCAAGTCCCCCGACTGGGTCAGCCAGGGTGCGCAAATTGGCGAGGCGAATGGCGTGTGCACCGGCTGGCCTGGCAGGAGGATGGCTGGGTGGGCTGTGCTTCGTCGAGGCCGACCAGGTAGGCATCCACCAACGGCCAGGACTGGGCGGTAGTGCGTGCGCTGTCTTGCATCATCTCGAACCCCAGAGCAGCAAACATTTTGGACGGACGAACGCAAAAAAGCCGGCATTCTGGTAGCTGAATGCAATAATGGTCAATTGACATCAATTAAAGGGTATCAGAAGCGTGTGTGGTGCCGCCAGCGGCTCTGGCGATTGCGCAGTCGCCTCGTGCTCTATCTCATCCTCACACGCGCAAGTGAGCGACGAACATGGTCGCGGTGCACCGCACGCCTGGGCCGTTTCTTTTGGCGGGCGAGGCAAGGATGGCTTGCCCGCGACGGTACACGGCCGTTCCAGCTCCCCCACCCATCTGTGACTGGTCTTTTGCCATGGCGTCGGCGTAAATGCACGCTCGCCCGGCGGCGCGGTACAGACCAGAGTCAAAGCTGCGGCAGATTCAGGCAGAGCCGTCGATGCCTGGCGTCTTTTGGAGACTATCCCAGACGCCCGTGATTTGTTGACCGAGCGGAGTGCTTTCTCACCTTGTTCTTCCGGTCTCACGGTTGCTTGGATGCCCGTGTGGCGTTACCAATCGCTGACAGGATGGACTCGGCCAATGCTTGCTTTCCCTCCTGTCGTACCGACACATCGTTGTGCAGTGCCGCCCTCACCTTGCGCCGCTGCACCGTGAGCCCGACATCCGTACATCGTTTTTCCAGCGTGGCACCGTGATCTTGTGGCACGAGCTCATCCTTGGCTGCCTCAACAATGTACACCTCAGGCAAGCAACGCGTTTGTCTCTGGGCTATCGCGCCAAGGTTCTGCCACGAGTCCAGCTGGGTGCGAAGAAATGGCCACAGGTACTGATAAGGCAGCCACCGCTGCGGGTAGATGGCCTTGAGCATCGCTCGTGTGTTGGTGAAAGGTGTCTCGAGCACCAGCGCGTTGATATCCAAGGTCGTCGCATTCGAATCTGATCGCGCTGCCAGATTGGTTGCGAAGCCACAGCCGATGCTCTGTCCCCAGAGCACTACCACTGGCTCCGGTAGTTGGCTGGCAGCGTTTCTGCCTCGATGCAGCTCTGATATCCATTGGAGCGCCGCCACAGCATCCTTGTCGATGCCCTTCTCCGAGGGTCGATCGTGCGAGGTCCAGTAGCCGCGGTAGCTCAGGCAGACCGTCGTGCAATGTATCGATTCGTCGCCGTCTCTGATACGGCGCAGCACCCAAGAGACGTCAGGCAGTCGAGGGGGAAGTGACGAGGCATTGCCTACGGGTCTTGTAAGTCATCCGTAGTGGCATACCCACAATCGCAAGACCTTGGGCGCGCCCACCTTGAAAGTAGAGAATGTAGACTGGAGTCGGGGATGCAGTGCTACCCGATCGTGCGGCTCCTCGGGCCGAGATCTCACTCACGCAGAGAGCAATCTCTGTCCTATCCAACGACTCTATGCGCTCCTCACGCCATTCTACCCCGCCGCATTGCCGGGCAAAGTCGGAGATGAGCATGCTCCTAGCATTGGGCGGCATGAAGGGGTTGTAGATGATGAGGTTCTGGAAGAGGATCAACATGGTGCATTTCCAGCACCAGAGTGTCATGAACAGGCCGGCGAAGATGACGGGAGGCATGGCGACGGGAGGAATGTGCAAAGATCTTGACAGAACCATGGCCGGACGGACATGCGACGAACGATTAGTCCATGACATGACAGCCGGACGGGAGGTCCTAGCCTCCATAAAGCTTAGCCATGACTGCCCGCTTGGACGCATCCATCGCAGCGCCATTGAGAAGTTTCGTCTCCACGCGCTTCATTGAGCAGGCCCGGGTGCATGCGCAATCGCTGTCGGCGCGGGCTAGGACATGTCGGGTCGCAACTGGGCTCGAGCCAGGAGCTGCATCGTGGGGGAGAGATGCAGAAATGCAAGCTTTGAGTCGAGCCAGCAGAGCCCTGCAGGGCGGTGGTCGTCCGGGGGAGGGGCGGTTGGTCCCGCGCCACGGCGGCTTTGCCTCCGAGATGCCAGTCGCCCGCCGCCAAGTGCAAAGCTAGCTACCTTACCTAACTGGGCTCCTGGAGCTCGTGGTGGAAGGTGCCCGTGGTTGGAGCCATGCCAGTGGAGTGGATAGTGGAGCGGAACTGCGCTGGACTGGCAGTCGCAGGCGGGCTCGGGGTCGCTGAAGAGTCCTGGAGCCACTGGATTGGCGCGAGCCTGCAGCAACGTCACACCACCGTCAGGGCCACTGGCGGGGCGAGGGCGTCCTTCACAGCGGGGAGCAGGCCTCCACTGCACTTCCCAATCCTTCCAGGTTGTCGTGACGGTGACGACAGTTTTGGCCCGGCTGGACGGGAAGCTCAACCAGCCAGCCTAAAAAAGCCCCGCCACCAGCAGGCACCACACCAAGCAGCAACATGCATTTCTTCCTCGCAGCTCGCTGACGAACCCGACTTGACCCAAACAACTCTCGACTACCCAACCTACGATCCGCACGCCTTCCCTGCATACACCACCGACTGGAAACGCGCTCAGCATAGCCCCTCCGAATCGCACACGTCCCTCCCCTCGTCTCGCAGCGAACAGCGTGAGGCGGCCAGCCACCATGCCCGCACCAGCTCCCGTCAACAAGGACAGCGAGACGTCGGCGCACATCGACATCCAAGATGATCGCGAGGCGCCTCGCGAGGACGGGGAGGCCAGCCCGGGCATGAGGAACAGCAAGGGCTGGGATGGGAAGCTTCGCGTCCCCAAGTCGGCGCTCATGACGAACCCGGAGGCTCTGTCGGACCCGGAATACTCGGACGACAGCAACGTCCTGCAAGGTGAAGAGATCAGCGCCGACGAAGGTTCGTGGCCATATGCCCCTCCCACCTGCCCGCTGTCTCGCTGACCCCAGTGCTACCACAGACCTCCTCGAGAGCGAGGCCTCGGATACAGAGGAAATCATGTGCTCTCACTCCCGCATCGGCGCCATGTCCGCGCTACGCCTCGAACGGTTCAAGAACGTCGCCCGAATCTGCTTGCGGCAAAACAGCATACAAGAGATCGAAGGTCTTGACGCCCTCGCCCCGACCCTTAAGGAGCTCGACCTCTACGACAACCTCATCTCGCACATGCGGGGCATGGATGCGCTGTCCAACCTCACCAGTCTGGACCTCAGCTTCAACAAGATCAAGCACATCAAGAACATCAGCCACATGACGAAGCTCAAAGAACTGTTCCTCGTCGCCAACAAGATAAGCCGCATCGAGGGCCTCGATGGCCTAGAACACCTCACCTCACTGGAGTTGGGCTCAAATCGCATCCGAGAGCTCAACAACCTGGACAGCCTCAAGGCACTGGAAGAGCTGTGGGTGGCCAAGAACAAAATTACAGAGCTGACGGGGCTCGGAGGGCTACCGAATCTTCGGCTGCTCAGCATTCAGTCCAACCGCATACGGGATCTGTCCCCGCTCAAGGATGTCCCCGGATTAGAGGAACTGTACATTGCTCACAACGCGTTGGACTCACTACAAGGCCTCGAATCAAACGTCAACCTCAAAGTCCTAGACATCTCGAACAACCAAGTCGCCAGCCTCAAGGGCCTGGAGGGACTGACCAAGCTGGAGGAGGTGTGGGCAAGCTACAATCAGGTGATCGACTTCAACGAGGTCGAAAAGGTGCTTAGGGACAAAGAGCACCTGAACACGGTGTACTTTGAAGGAAATCCCCTTCAGTTGCGGGGGCCAGCGCTGTACAGGAACAAGGTTCGCCTGGCTCTACCTCAAGTGAGCCAGATCGATGCCAGTAAGTTGAAACGCCAATTCCGAGACTGGACAACAGCTGACACGTGCACGCAGCTTTCGTCAAAGTATAGCGCTCCGCTGAAAGGAGATGGTGAATTCGGCGTCCTCTGAGCTACGAGCATGGTGTTTTACGGCGTTTCTGGGCGAGTCTTGAGATTGTAGGCTCCGAGCGCGATGCATGTAGGTCGACTTGCGCGGAGCATTGAACACTTGGGAACAGGGGACCACAACGGGCTTTGTTCACAGTGAGGCACAGGCGAGTACACGTGCAGCTTTGAATTATTTATATGTTTCCACAGATGGTCGCAGGCAGCATAGTCAGACTCGCGACAGACGTGGCAATTATGACCACTTGGTCAACTCCATCGTTCTCTATCCAAAGATCCAAAGCTTATCGGTGTCAAAATACTAGAGTCTCGAGTTAGCGCTTCGGGTCTTGTGGCAAACAGACGGGGGAGCCCCTTACGTTTGTAGGCTGGTTGAACTTCAAGCCAAGGTCCATCTTGGCGATTCGGTCCATGTCGACCTGGTCGAGGTCAAAGCTGGTGCAGGCAAGGTTCTGGGCCATGAACTCGGGCTCGGAAGCGCGGGGAATGACGGCCATGCCGCGCTGAGTGGACCAGCGCAGCAGGATCTGGGCGGTCGACTTGCGGTACTTGTCGGCCATGGCCTTGATGACGGGGTGGCCCATGAGGGGCGTGACGCTCTTAGCGCGGTCCATGTCGAGCTCGACGAAGCTGGCGGGCCCGAGGGAGGAGTAGGCAGTGACGGCGATGCCCTCGGCCTGGGCGAGGCGGACAATCTCGGTCTGCTGGAGGTAGGGGTGCAGCTCGACCTGCAGGGTGGCGGGCCGGATGCGGGCGTAGCGGAGGGTGTCGTAGAGGGTCTGGGCCTGATAGTTGGAGACGCCGATGGCCCGGACGAGGCCGGCGTCGACGAGGCCCTCCATGGCGGTCCAGGTCTCCTGGTTGGTGACGTTGGCGACGCGGATGTCGCTCTCGCCGTCGTAGAACCAGCCGGGCGGGTAGCGGACGCTGGGGTCGACGTACTCGAGGCTGACGGGGAAGTGGATGAGGAAGAGGTCGAAGTAGTCGACCTGCCAGTCGGCGAGCTGGCGGCGGCAGATGGGCTCGACCTTGTCCTTTGCGTGGAAGGTCTGCCAGAGCTTGGAGACGATGAAGAGGTCCTCGCGCTTGACGATGCCCTCCTTGATGGCGCGGGCGACGCCGTCGCCGCACTCCTTTTCGTTGCCGTAGTCTTCACGGGAGAGTCAGTTCAACTCTTCCAGTTCGGTTTGTATCCGCACGTACCGCAGGCGCCGTCAAAGAGACGGTAGCCGGCCTTGATGGCGTTGTAAATGTCGTCGGCGGCCGTGGCCGTGTCGAGCTTCCAGGTGCCCATGCCCACCTGGGGCATCTGCTGGCCGGTGTTGAGCCTGATGGTCGGCGGCGCCATGCTGTGAGGGTCCTGTTGGGCAGTGCGCTGGTGATGTGGAATGTGTCCCGTGTGAATTGCTTCACTCTGCTGCTCCAAACCCGATGGCAGATCTGAGGGCGCTATTTATCGGGCTTGAGTCCATCGTCGCAATTCATCCATCATCCACAGATCGTGCCACCGGCGCTCGACCGACTTGCTCGCATCGTCACGCCTTGCTGCGCGGCCGTTTCCCATTATCCTAAATGCCAGCCGTGAGGCGCGTCGCGCATGCGCAGTACTCGTAGCCGGACAGCTGGCGAGCGTCCGTGAACGGCCTGGCTCGCGTGATCGATGGAGCGGCTTACACCAAAAGTCGATCCATGGTTCCCCGGCAGACGCGCATTTAGCCTGAATTGGCACAAAGCAATGGGCTGGGTACGTACTGAGCCCTGACCCAACGCCATTTGCAT